CTATTAGAACTGTTGACGAACAAATAATAACTACATAATAATATTAAATCTATATTGTAGCAAAGATATATGAAATACAATTCTCAACTTCGTGTATGTGACTCAATTATTTTTTTTCTATTAAAAAAAATTTGATATTTTCTCGCATTACTTTTTGTAGGCACGATAACGATTGTACGTGTTTATCATCGTATACAAGACAAATATTTGCAAATCATTTCAAATCATTCGTGCGTGAACCGCCGAGCGTGCCATAATATTCTTTATTTAAAGCTATGAAAAATTTGCAATAGATAATGGATCCTGTGGCGTACCGATGACATAGTAAACAGTAGTGTAAATCTCAAGGGTGCATTTCTAATGGTAAATGCAAAAATATGAAAATAATTCTTGATGTAACTTTTTATCGTGTTATTAAATAATTATGAGTCTACCAAGTTTATATATGGACATGAGTCCTTAAAACATAATATTACAAACGTTAACAAAACCTAACACAATAATAAAATTATTACACCAATATAAGTAGTTATAATACAAACTCCACTGTTAAGTATTATACGAAAATAAATTTAACAAATATATAAATAAAACATAAAATATAACTTTTTCAATATTGCTGTATCTTATTTTTGTAATTTATTTATGTATATGTAATACGTACATTCATGTCTAGTTAAATTTGTTTCCCACAAACATCCAGCATAAACCTACCGATTACCAAGATATGAAAAATACAAACAAAATTACTAAAATATTTACAATAGAGAACAGATGCATAACAGCGAAATGTTAAATTTCGCTATTATGTGATAACTTTGGAATATAGTTGCTTTCTATAATAGTGGTTTAATTTTATTATAATTAGCATGCAGAAAGTTGAATTTCAATCCGAGATACTACATAAATTGTACATTTATAATACATATTGTATTGGCCGAATAAAAAGTTCTAAAATCGATTTATAAGCATAGATATTTACATACTTGTAGTAATATTTATATTTATAAATTAAAAATTATTATGTGTGTTATGAATCATTTAAATTATTTATTTATTTTTTATTACTTAGTATTATTATCAATTAAAGTATTGAAACCTCGATTGCCATCACCTATAAAATGAATACAAATGTATCCGCAAGAGTCAATAGTGAAATGAATAAAAAATATCTTTTATACATTTTTCATTCGTATACTGATATAATTAAATTCTATACGAAAAAGTAATGAATATATTATGTTTATTTTTGAGTTAATATAATCAAACAATTGACATTGAAACAATTACTGGAACTATGATTATAATAAATACAAATACACCGATACTATATACTCAATTCAATATTTTAATTGTTGTGGAAATATTTGGAGAAGTCGAAACTTGTGGTCCAGCCATGTTGAAAAATAGATTAAAGATTATTTATACAAAAATATAGAAATATATATTATTCATTATTAATAACTAGAAGTCGAATTTTTATGATTTTACATATTTGTTTCTAGTCTATGCAGATATGTCAATGTAAATGAGAGTGAGATATTTTTACGATTCATAAAACACAGAATTCAGAGAAAAAATTTTATTTTGCATAAAAAATCATATTTTAGGAGTTAGGGAAGATTTAATACGTTAGAATATATTGAGAATATTTTATAAACATTTTTATTTTTGAAGGTTTTATTTTTATAGATATTTTTTTCAAAGAAAATAATTGTATATTACCGATTGTACTACGTACATCGGTATTTTGATAATATTGATCAACAAATACAATATTCACAATATGAATTATTTTTATGTCCTTCTAGGTTGTAATAAAAATTAATCACTAGGTATCAGGGGTAATCCACGTACGGTTAAAATTTGCATTAAAACCGTAAAAAAAGTTACTGTAAATCATATTAATAATAACATTTACTAATTGATAAATTTAAACCAAGTAATTAAAATAATCTTTTTACAGAATATTGAAAGAATATTTGTATTTTTAAAGACATAAATCATCATAAATTTGGTATTTTTAAAAATATTTAGAGAATATATTGTTTTTTAAATGACATAAAAACATCATATTTTAAGGATTTTAAGAGAATATTAATCCGACCTCTATTAATAACTGTACTTCGTACATACATGTAAATAGGAACGTCTTTTGATAATTATATGTATCTATATTATACGACGGACTTTTTAATTCGAAACCTGTCGTACTTTAAAAATTAAATAATATTCCAGGCTAAGCATTTATTTATTTTTATATATAAGCTATTTGTTTATTTATTTTTATATTAATTATATAACATTTTATATTCAATGCCGACCCATTGATGATAACGTGTAAAGTTATCAAAATGCGTTTAAGTTTAGAAAATAAATTAAATATAACTCTATTTTTAACAATATCCGTAAAACCAATAGTAAATCAAAATTTGAGTCAATAAATGTATTTATGATATTTAGTATTAAAAAATTACCATTAGATCACATTTTATTGTGCATATCATGGTATTTTTTTTTTTTTTTAGGTATAACTAAATAAATAAAATATACTAAACATTTATGTATATATATGCAATGCATTAAAAATTATTGTAATACACCAATTTTAATTATAACACAACAAATAAACAAACGTTTTCTTGTACACGATTGTACTCTATATTCAACGGATGACAAGTTGGGTGAGTCGAATCAAACTACATAATATGTAGTATACTCTATATTATAGAGTAAACAATCAAAGTAAAACCTACTCTTATAGATTGTTTTAACTTTGAATATATTATGACGTAAATTGGTATTTTATAATTTTAAAAAAATAAATAAAACCAATAAAACAGGACTGTTGTAAACGCAAGCCCCTGCGGTTTATTACTCACCTAACATTATCGATACAATTGCGTCACTGCAGATATAGAAATATATACTCATAATTTATAAATGTATATAAATTAGCTGAACGCTAAATCTTATAGTAAAATTAGGCCTTGACCTTTTTAAATATGAAAATATTTTTCAATTAAACATCAAAATTTATCAAATTAAAACGTGTAAAAGTAACTAATATAATTAGTATAATCTTTTTCAGTTGTACCCCGCCAACCTATACATGTATTATGTAACGCTAACGAGTGCGATACAGTGCACATACATAGCTATCTATAAGGTATCAAGTATCTAGAATAAGTGTAACACATTTTAAGAAAATATATACAATGATACACTGATGGATCGATTTTAGATTCCGATTTTTACTTGAATACCGGTGGTACCATAATGATTATTTGTGAATGTCACTCGATGAACAAATCCGTATGCACTAGGTACCAATAGTATGTAACATGTAAATACAAAAACCATCGACTACGCGTAATGTACGATAAAAAAAAAAGGCCGAGTACTGAATAGATATTTTTACAGAATATATTATTATTATATTAATAGTTCGTGTATTCCATGGTATACGTAATTATTAACTATATGTGACCTTTCGTATTACATAACATCAAAACTACGTTGTTGTTAAATGCGAGCGTCAAGTGAGACATAGTAATTCAGTGCGTTAAGTAATATTCGTCCACACGTCAAAACCATTAATTATTTTCTATGTCAAGGCGTATTAAACTAGCAATTATTTTGGAATTTCTAATCCTTTAGTTGCCACGCTACGCCATTTTATATTTTATAGGAGCTCGTTAAACATTAATGAACATTGTCTCGAAATATATACATGAGAAAACCGCGTTTTTCAACTATCAGTTTTTCCTGACCGTTAACAATCAAACATATACATCATAAAAAACAGATTATTCTGTGATTTTATGGTTTAAAAAACGTTAATAATTAAATCTTATTTGTTAAATTTAAAATTATAATAAAATCATACAACATAAGCTTACAGTATAAGCTAACAGTATAGTGTACAGACAATTTTTCAAGATAACTTGGTGTAAATATACTTGATTATGAATGGTGTAAAACGTTTTTTAATAAGTTTTCATATGTTTTAAAATACAACATTTATATAGAGTTTTTAGCTTGAAACTACAATATATGCTAGTTTCCATTAAATATTTTACAACGCACAAATAGATCTAAAATTAATAAAACAAGTAATGTGAATTAAAATATTCAATAAAAATAAATAGTTAACTAGGTATATTAAAGAATATTTTATTAATTTACATAGAAAATCGTTTGACAGTATAATTAAATAACTAACATGTGTAACACTTAAAATAAACGTTGTGGTTTTAGGAGAAAAAATACACGTTATAATGAACAAAATGTCACAAAAAATCACAAACACGTAAAGCATAATGAAGTTCGAAATGTAAACTTGACTTTGTGGAAATAAAAATAGTGTACAAGTACTTTTTGTAATTTTCTTAACTTTATCTGAAATTATCTGTTTGTAATAAATATAAGGAAATGCTACAAACCATGGCCCTCTGACATTACTTAACTGCTTTAATATTTTAAAATAGAATAACATTTATGTATTAATTGTATGCCGTCGTATTATTGGTTGGTTATTTGTTTCTTCGGGTAATGGATTTAAAAGCCAGACGCCGCGAAGTACGAAAAAATATTAGCAAATAAAATCACAAAATGTTCAAACAAACGCTGCAATATAGGTTAAATTGGCCGACAAATCGAAAATATCCGATGAACTTGTTCGTATTTCAAGTGACTGCGATACATGAAAATATCCCGTCAGCCATTATACTTTGTAACAGCATCAGTACGAACGCGAATACGCCGCTGCCGCCGCCACCGCCGTAGCGGATAACGCAAACCCGCGATCCGGTCGCGACGCGCTCGTTTTCTTCCATGAGCTCGACGCGGGAGCAGTTGCTCCGATATCCCATCGATGACACTGGCCCCAACGGGCGGGTAACGCGGGCGGGCGCTGCGGCGTCAGGTGGACCGACGGTGGTAGCGGTAGCGGGGCAGTGACGAGTGGGCGTAAACCGTTTCGCGGTGATAGCGACCGATTTTTAATCAGTTCGTCTTCCTCCCAGCGTCCCGTAGTTCGTTTCGATTATTTTTCGTTACATTATTATTATTATTATTATATTTACTTTTTTTTTTTTTTATCATTCCCGCAGTCGGTTCGCCCGAACGACATTGTTAATAATACCATCATTATTATTATCCGTTCAATTGTCGTAGTCATTCATTTTTACTGCGCAATACATACCGTTCCCGTCGGCTGTGTGCTGGACGAGTGTTGCGAAATCGCGTTTACGCATTAACCCAACGCCCGTCCGCGATCACATCGTCAATACCGGCGACGATTTTTCTGCTGTCGGCCTGCGGCTCTACCCGCCGCCACCGCATCCGTCACGCGCGACACCGATCACAAAGACGTCGCCGCCAAACGTTTTCGTGACATCCGTTTTGGTTCTGGAATGACCAGTGCCTCTCGTCGTCACCATGACTGTTGTGGATTTTTGTGATTATTTTTGGGTAAATATTATCAAAGCTGTACAGCTGTAATCACCGCGTACATCGTTTTCATCATTACGTTTGCTCCTAGCTTTTTGGGAAGTATCTGTCGTATCCGAACAATTGTATATTTTTGGAGTGCTCGGTTAAATGACTTAGTGAGTCAGTCCTGTGAGTTGGTTTAACCAACGAGTTCACTTTAATGGTTTTATTGTTAGAGGCTATAAAAAGTATAAAAACAAAAATTGTTAGTTCAATTTCTGTTCAATACGCTCTTCTTGCATATTTCATAAAGATAAGATAAAAAATTAGTTCCTTGTATATTTAGGTTTTCTTATCACATTCAATCATTAAATATTGGTCATTATATACAAGTATTTTACTTATTTAAAATGTAAAAGATTTTATTTACCATACTATTGGATATTACAGTAAATGCCACTTATTAGACTCAAAATCGCCTGGAACGATCCGGATGTATTCAAATATATAAAAAAAATTCAGTTTTAAGGTTCAAATTTTGTAAGAAAAATCTTTAAAAATTAACTTCTATGTTACTAATTATTTATTGATATCATAGTTGAATCACTATCAAACAAAGACATTCTAAAGGCCATAGATTTGTTGAGGAGAGCTGCTTATCAGTACAGCAGTATATTTCCAAAATAGTTGAAAATTATAAAAAACAAATCACAAATATTTTTAATAAAGAATAAAAATTGTATTAAATAATACATATTATGTAATATCTTATATACAGTTAAAACAAAAAAGTAAATTAGTAAAAATTAAGTAAAAATGTAGTAAAATAAAATTAGTAATTATATTCAGATTTTTGTTTGTATCTTTTTCCACTTTACCTATAAGATAAATTCAGTTATAAGACTCACTTTATGCTGGTTTCAAAGTGAGCTTATAAGTAAGGCTGGGATTTTGATGCAAATGCATCTTTTCTTTCTAATTTCCCAACACGTAGGTGTGTAAGCAGAAATGTGTTTTAAGTGATACTGATTAATTTAATATTTTTTTGATAATATTTATATATATATTTATAGTAATAATATTTCATTTATTTTTATTTCATTTTTCTATTTAATTATAAGTGCATATTTTGTAGCATATGTGTGTAAAGTTTTTAATTTTAGTGTTTTAGTACCATAAATACATTTATTATTAACTATTATTGTTTATAAATTATATTAGGCAATGATTTAATTGATAAATTAAATTTTAATACTTTTCATTTTAAGAATATAAGTTATAAAAATGAATGTAAAATTGAGTTATATTGTGATGTAATTGTACCTATATGATAAGTTATTTGAAAATGTAATTTTAATCTCGTTAAATTTATCACTATATGAATATCTTGTTTTAGGGTGAAAAAAATAATGGATTTGATATTTTGTACCATAATATGAAATATGGCTTAATAGCTAGTAAAGATTTGTCAGATTTTTTGAGAGAAAGGTAAGTTAATTTTAATTTTTTAACTGTTTCTTTTTTTTGCTAATATACATATTTTATTTGCAGAACAAATATTGAAGAAACATGTTCAAAATTACTTGCAAAACTATCTAAACAAACCAGTAACAGTTCAGCAGCAGGAACTTTCAATCCTTTATGGATATTACTACGAGGATCTATAGAAAAACTCACCACATTACATTTACAGATGGTACATAAAATTTGTGAGCTAGTAAAAGATGTTACAAAGTATACTGATGAATTACATAAAAAACATAAAACTGTAAGTATAATTAACAAGTAAAAATATAAAAATAAATTTGTCACATTTTCTTTGTTAACAACAAATAATTCAATTTATTAGGTTAAAGAAGAACAAAGTGGCACTTTGGATTCTGTACAAGCCATACAATCAACCACTTTGGCTTTACAGAAAGCTAAAGATACATATGTACAAAAAGGTGGAGAACTAGATAAACTGAGAAAAGATAATGCTTCTGCCAAAGATATCGAAAAAGCAGAACTAAAATTAAAAAAAGCTCAAGATGATTATAAAGTATTAGTTGACAAATATAATGCCGTGAAAGAAGAATTTGAAAAAAAAATGACTACAGCTTGCAAGGTTAATATTGGTTATATTTTTATTAATTTTTTTTATACACATGTACATTATATATATAAATATAAACTACACTGAACCGTATATTAAATATTCAAATATTAAACAATTCAATATAGATTTTTCAAGAAGTTGAAGAATCACATTTAAGACAAATGAAAGATTTTCTCAACTTGTATACTGAGTTAATTGAAACAAATCATGAAGAAATTGGAAAGGTTAGTTACAACTGAAGACATATTATAAAACTTAATTAATTACCAATGTATTTTATATTAAAAAGTAATTGTAAGTATAATATTCTGCATTAGGTTCATTTTGAATTTAAAAAACAATGTTCAGAATTATCAGTAGATAAGTTATTACAGCAATTTGTTTTAACTAAATGTACAGGATTAGAAAAACCAGGTACTATTAAAATTAATTTCTCAGTGATTTATATGATTCTAAATGATTTATTTTATTTATTATTTAATAGAAAATATTGAATTTGAGGAAGTATGTCTAAATAGCACATCTAATATTATCAATCAAGTACCTGATTCATCAAGTGATACAAGATCAATCCAAGGAACCAATTCACCAGTGTTAACAAGTACACCACAAAATTCATGTGCCAATAGTGTTGCATCTGAAAAGCCTTCTACAGCAAAACGTGAAGGTAATAGCGGTATAAGGGACAAGAAAGATGCTACCAATTACCAGTCCTCCAGAGCAACATCCTTACTCAATATCTTCATCTCCAACTCCCACGGTATGTTCATTAAACAATAAATTTTTTTCAACCTCGCAATTGGCCTACCAGAACAGCTATTTTAGTAGAATTTTTCTGCACCGTACCAGCAATCGGTAATTAAGTATCTTTTTAGTTGCTTTATACAATTATATTATTTTGTATACTAGTTAGTATGGTTTGACCATGTCCCCTTAATACATTAGTGTTAATTTTCTTAGATATTTTTTAATAATTATTTTACCCCAACTTAATCACCACATACATTTCAGAAGTATATTTTTTTAAACTTGATATTGCCAACATTATTTTATAGTATACTAAGTGTATATTTTATGTATAACTTTATAAAATTTCGCAAGAGAATAGTGACCACTAAAAGTGTGTCGGTTAATTTCTATTATAACATATAATTGTTGTGGTCTTTTATCTAATTTTGTTTATATTAAACTCATAATTTTGTAATAAAAATTATAACTATAATTAAGAATCAAGATTTAAGAACTCAACTTAGAATTATATATTAATTTTTTTTTAATTAAAAATGTCCAATAATATCCTTGGTTCTTGAATTAAAGAAGAATAAACAATTACATTTCCATATAATTACCTAGAAATAACTTCACATATTATATTAATTTTTGAGTGTATTTATTATTGTTTTATTATCTCATTGAGTATAAAAATATTAATATTGCACTGTTAAAAAATTCTAAAACTCATTTTAAAAGTAATAAATTAATATAACTTTTTCCTATAATATAAACAAACAAAAAAAAAAAAATGTATTATACAATTAACTCAATTAAAATATATTTTATAATATTTATTGATGGTTTACATTAATGTGAGTTATAATTGCTTAATAACTGTGTTCTGGAATTCTGTTCAATGTTGATAATAGTTTTTAATTTTTATAGGTTATGAAACTACTGAATGTAGTTAATGTAATAAAAATAGTATACTTTTACAAATCTTCGTCTTCTTATCCTTTATCTTTATCCCAACTATTTGGGGTTGGCTATATTTGTCCTAATCCTTCACTTGTCTGGATTTTCTACATCCCCTAGTACACACTAATGGCCATCATATCATTCTTAATCGTATCCTACCATATATTTTTTGGTCTTATTTTTTTTTCTTTTTCTTCATATCTTTTTAAGTCTTTATAATAGTATACTTTTACATATAATTATACAATATTTTTAAAAAAAAATTATAATAAATTAATAACTATAGAGTTAGTTAAATAATTTAGTTTTTTAAATTGTAACTATTAAAATAACAATAGATTAATTTATATAAATTATGTCTCAGTATTCATACTATTCATATTAGTAATTTATCTTATATTAATCTCTTACCCATTTTTATTTTTACTATGTTGTTTTAAATAACACATAAATATTAAAATAACTAAATTTAATACACACCTTATCTGTAAAATATCTGTATAATTCATTATTGTTCTGCTACATTATGATTTATGCATGTTTCTTTATTTATATAAATTGTTTATAAGCTTTTGTGTTGTTGTTTAAGTAAAAGCTGTGTTACAGGTGCTTTTTCAAAATCAAACAGAACTGTCAGTTTAAGTACTGATCACACAGCTTATTCACTTCCTCAGAATTCCATTCGTGGATCAAAATGTAATTTTTATTTATTTTTATTGATCCTTAGGTATGAAGTTTCTTGCATGTTTGCATTATTTTTAGTATTTTCCTGTAGATATGAAGTATTCTTCCTTCTAAAGTGCTATTTTTAAATCAATTAGTTCTTATTCTTGATGCCTGCTGTCCAAACAAATATATGAATATAGTAAGTTTCAGATAATAAACTTTAACAAAGTAGTTTATAATTATTTTACTATATAATCTTTTTCGTTTTTATTGGATTATATTTAAAATATGAAGTATTTAATTAGGTACATACATTAAAAATTATATTTTGTTGAGCACATTTAAGTTATTATTCTGAAACATATTTTATACATATATTGTTATTAATATTTCTTTTAAACTTCTGAATTAAATAAAATATATTTGTGGTTTAATGTTGTATAATTTGATATATTTCTAATTAAAATGCATTACAATGTTCATTAAATAATATATTTATAATTAAAGATAATTCTTTTCAGAGTTCATTAAATTAATAAAATAATAGTATTTATAATTATGTCTTTATAATCTATTATTCATGTTACAATTTTATATTAAAATTTAAAAATCTGCTATTTAGGTGACATTTTTTATGTTGGCAATAATATTATAAGATTATTACTATTATTAACCATATGATGAAAATATAAATAAATTAATTATATTCGTATTAAGGAGAATGGTCAAATAGTATACATAATTTTTTAATTTGTCATGTAAACTATTTAGCAGTTATGCATCAATCACAGTTCATTTTTGGTAAAGTAAAATTATAAAAATCAAACTAAATTTTGTCCTTTACAAAAATTAAAACACTAATTTCACTACATTTTATTAAAATAGGTTCTAGTTGACACTATATATCTCTATATTATATACATACATATATATTTGGTATTGGTTATTATGAACGATATTAATTGCTTCACATTATTTAAAAAACTTAATTTTATTTTTTGGACTGTATATGCATTTATAAATTAATTTATTCATTATTACAGATAGATATGCTTTAAAACTAAATAAATAATAATTTTTATTAACATCTTTATATTTAGCATGATGCCATACAAATACATACACGTACACAAAGTTCAAGTAAACCTATTACAAGATAATTAAATGTATGAGGCTATAAGTATATTTTAATTCCGTGTAAGCTAAGAAAAACCTACAAAAATGAATTTCTTTTTTGTCCTTTTTATTATCCTTTGAAATGGCTTTTACTGTTGCATTTATTATTAATTATTATATTATTTATTTATGAATTGTTATTATATTTATTTTAGCTGCATGTTGTTCACAGTTATTTTATTAGTTTTATGTTTTAAATTGCATAGTATCATAGTGCCATATACAAAGATAAAAAGACAAAAGTCTATTAAAAAAAAAAATATATATTAAAAAATACTCTTTCTATAAGTATAATATTAATTTTCTTTATCTTTGTATTGAGTACTCAGTAGTAAACACATTATGAGTCATAAAGTTAAATAATTGTCTGTGTGTGTTCAGGGTTTTTAAGGAGTAGACGAGACAAACGTAAGGAAAAGAAAACTAAAAAAAAGAAGGATACAAATGGTGAAACAGTAGGCAAGGAAGACAAATCTGATAAGTAAGTTCGAAATAAGTTGTAAAAAATGTTGTAGATTACTAAAATGTGCTTCTAAATTTAGTGAAGAAAAAGAAGAAGAAGAGTCTAAGAATTGTACACTAGAAATTGATGATGAAGGATATCGTATACAACCAACAGGACAATGGAGCGTTGACAAAGGAAATTTTTTTTCATCATCAGATTCAGGTATTTAATTTTTAACTGTTGTATCTTTGTCATGAAAGTTTACTGAATATGCTTAATTTAGTATATTGATATAATTAACAGATGAGGAGACTGATAAAAGATTACATGTTGAAATAAAACCATTAAGCAATGGATCAGGTCCAATAAGTGCAAGTGTTGATGAATTAAGAGCTACTGTTGAAAATATATCATTATTACCCTTGGGAACACAGACTTTAAAGGTAACTTTGTATAAACAAATTATATATATTATTTTATCATATTCTAATTTTTTGTATTGATTAAGAACCGGCGAGGATCAGGTAATGATGATGGTACAATGAAACGTTCTAAATCGGTTTCACAACAATTGAATTCTGTGTAAGCATGATAAATACTGTATTTAATTTACATTACAAACATTTTAATTAATTCAATTTATATTTCAGAAAAGTAAGTAATGATCTGATAGGATTGAATTTATTCCAATCAAGTGACCAGGCTCCTAATCCAGTTCAACAGTCTAATTCATTGAATAGCCCTACTTTATCGTTAACAAACAAATCAATTTCTCCGCCTAATGTTTTCCCTGTAATGTCGAGATATGCTGCAGGTATAAATCATAAATGTAACCAACTTAAAATACAAATTTTTAATATAAAAATATTTAGATCTAGGTGATTTATTCTTTGAAGATCTTCAACAGTCCACTCCGAAACAAGTGTCTCAGTCTACAACTCCTCCATTGGGTTCTATCTCTATACCTCGTCCACCATCTAGACGTGAGGTAATCAAATAAATAATAATTAAATCGATTTCAAATTGTTTCATTTAAGTTAAAAATTCATTGCATATAGATAATAAAAAATATTTTTCTCTATACATCATGAAAATTATTCAACTTCATTGAAAATAATATTTATGCACTTGCAAATATTTTTAATTAGAACAGTAGCATTTCTTATTAGTTTTTTTTTAAATTGGGCATTAAAAAAATGTATATAAATTAAATGTTATTATATTTTAATTGCTATACGAAACACATGTATATATATTCTAATTACATTCTTTTATCATAGATTTATTTGTAACTTTCTCATAAAACATTTACTCATAAAAATGTTTTGTATTTACCTTTTTTATTTACCTTTGGATATTTATAAATCCATTCTGTAATATTTTATAGAGCCTTTCCAAAAATGTCTTGTGTAATTATTTAAATATAAAATTATACAAGTTTAGTGATAATCAGTTTAGGGCTAGGTCTTTCATTGGAAATAATATTATTTTTTTTCTTTTTATGAAAATTTAGAAAATTTTTAGTATTTCACTAATAATTATGTTAATAATCATCAGTCTGAATAATTATTAAAATGGCTTTCTATTTATAATTAAACTTATATATATTAATATATTATAATTTATTAGTTTCAATTCATACATTGAAAATAAAAATAGTAAGGAGGGTCGATACTACTTTTTATCAATAACCGATGTACCGATATAAAACCAATACTCGAAATAATAGTCACAAGTAAAAATTAAGTTGATTTTTAATATAATACATAAAAAAACTTTTTTTGCCAAAAACCATGAACTGATACTAAAATTGTTTTTTGCGGTATCTGTTCAAATATCAGTTTTGAAAATAAATCGATACCACCAATATCAGCCCATACCACGTATCGGCTCTAGGAATGGCTCACCCCTAAAAAATAGTCAATAGAGTATTATTCAATATAGTGTGACAATAAGAAATACTATTAACTAATCGCCACACTGTTTTATTTTATACATAGCAAAACTTTGGAAAATATCTTAATGACTTGAAATTACAACTTATATTTCTTTTTATAATTAAATGTAAAATAACATTATAACTATACTATAATATAATCTTTTAAAATATATTTTATTGTTATAATAATGAACATATTTAATTTATATTTGTGTGTTAATGCACAACTTGAATGCATGCCACTGAACTAGAATTTAAAATAAGTACTCAGACAATTTCATAATTTCATTGTAACCTAAAATTATTTATGACATTGTTATTAGTTCAACATATGTTTATGATCCATTATATAATCTTACCTTTCTATTCAATAACATTTAAATATAATAATGCATGTCTCTATTTACAGAATGGACCACGCAATCAACTCAGTCCAATTAGTATTGCCAGAACAGATAGTGTGACAAGTCTTGAATTCCGTTCTTCTGGAGTCATAGGTCCATCCAGAGGACCATCACCATTAACAATTGGATTGTCTGACTCTATTCCATTGGCTGTTGCATTTCATGAAATAATTCATGCCTATTTCAAAGGATCAAACGAATCAAGGTATTTACTGATATGTTAATAAAAACTTGTGAAAAATAAAATACATAAATAATATTTGTTTTAGATGTCAAGTGAAAATGTTTGGAGATATGATGGTATCATTTCCTGCTGGTATTGCAAATATATTAGCTAATAATCCTAATCCAGCAAAATTGTCTTTTCGATTGAAGAATACTATGAGAGTGGAAAATATCCTTCCAAACAAACAACTTATGATAATGTAAGGAAGTATTTTATATAAATATAATTTATAGTTTTATTAAATTCATTGTTACAGGGATAACACACTTCCAGCTGGTGATTCAATTATTTATGAATTCAATATGCCTGCTTTAACATCATTGTTGCGTAAACAATTTGAGCAAAATCCTACGGCATCCTATTTTAATGTTGACATTCTTAAGTATCAAGTTAGTTACTGTTATTTTATGTTAATGATCAATTATTTGAAATTTTAATTATTTTAAATGTTATGAATTTCAGGTGAAACTGCGTAATACTGCAGCAGCATCATGTCCGTTCCAATTAGTTTCATTTTATAAATGTAGTAATAGTTATACAGATCTTAAAATTGACTATAAATTTAACAGTCACTCTATGAGTGTTCCTCTGCCTTTACTCAATGTTTCAGTATCTGCTAATTTAAATTCAGCAATACGTAATATGCAGTCGAAACCAACTGCACAATGGTAAATCAATTTACACCCATATTATGTTTTATTAAAAATTACACACTTTTCTTTACATATGTAGGCAATCTGATACAAAAACTGTAACTTGGAAGTTTGCTGAACTTGCTCAATATTCTGAAAGCCAGGGTTCCGGTTCATTAAAAGCAAGATTTGAGGTTGATAATTTGTGTCCTATATCCACAATTGTAACTCAATTTAACTGTGAGGGTACAACATTGTCTGGAGTAGAATTTGAATTAGCAAGTACTGGTTATAGAGTTTCATTGATCAAAAGACGTTTTGTCGCAGGTAAAATTTTATTTACTTATTTAGCTATAATATTGTTAAAAGATTAATATTACTTTTAAATAAAAAAATATTAATTTTTTTTATGAAACATTTGAATTTAAATTGTTTTCTTTAATTACGAATAGTATAAAAAATATTTTGAATAAATTTTAGGTAAATATATTTGTGATGGTGAACCAGATCCAAAAAGTTCTACTCAACATTCCACTGTGTCATCAAACATTTCTTGTTCAGACTGTTAACAATCTGTTTCATTTATTATTTGTTTTTATATACATTTATAATGTTTATTATCAATCTCATGTTTTTTGTTGGTAATTTTTCATAATTTAAGTGTTTCGTATCTTTTGTTTTCATTAATATTTCTAACAATTTTGAATCGTTCTCAGTTTTATTTGTCGTTTCCTACTCATTACATTTGAGTAACATTTAATTAAATATTCAATTACATTTTTTGTTTGTGAAATTATTAATTATCATTTTTAAATTAAAATTGAAAAATATAAAAATATTGAGAATGTATATGTTATTTTATATAAAAACATTTCAATTTTTATCAAACGACAATTTTTTTTTAAAAAATCAAACTTAAAATGTATTATATTTAATAGCAAAGTATAAGAATATTTTTACTATTAGTTATTTAATTAAAATGCATATCTAAAGATCTTAAACCAACAATAAATATGAAAGATTTAAAATATTGTTCTTTGGAACTTATGCAGGGATAAATAACTATGAATTTGCTGACTTTTGTTTTTAAAATTCAATGTTTATCAAAATAATGATTTAATCATTTAAACTTACATATTTTTACTTCTTAGTTCTTAGTATTTAATAGTATTACATATAAAATTAGCAATAATCAAATGTCTTCTAGTAGGCTATTTTATATGTAAAAATAACTGTTTGATCTGATTATAAAAATCTCTGATTGTAAAATTATAATTAAAATTTTATTATTATTTTTTTTTTTTTTTATTACTATTATATTGTGATATGTTTATCAATCTTAAGGCTCTGTTTATGCTTCCTTGTTAAATTAGATATTTCTAGGTAACATCCTAGTTTATTGAAATTATGATTATGATTTAGATTTACAAATTATGCCTCCGTTCATATTTTTAAGTGATAAATCATCGGAGATAAATTAAATGTGTTTTGAATTTGTTGACTTGGACCAATGTATTATGAAGATGTACCCCGATGATATTTCCTTTGGAATTATTTTTATGAATCAAAATATTATATATAAAAAATATGCTATTATTTTTATTATTATTATTATTATTATTACTATAGTATTGTAATTTTTTTGAATAAGTTATCATCTGCGGCTCAAAAGTGTATGTTAACTGGTATTGTTAATATGATTATTATTGTATGTGAAGAATGCTATATATTTTTTTAGATGTAATATATAATATCAATACATACTTTATTATGTTCAATATCAAATAAATATACCATAAATTATTTGTTCTGTTTTAGTTTGACAAAATATTAACGATATTATTTATTTCCAACTTATTTTTTTACCCGTTATTGTAAAAATTTATGAATAGCATATATGACGGAAACATAATATAGAAAAATGTCAACCGTGCAAATTTAAAATACTTTTTGGTAAAATTGCATTTATGTAATAACTAATAATAATGTATGAATTGTTGATAAAATCAATGGTACAAGAGTATATATTTGAGAGCGTGCTCACGACAAATACTTGTATAGTACTATGTTAGGAATACTTATCTATAATTAAATAAAATGGGCTTTGGACGACATATTGGTAAATGAAATTAAAAATAATAATAAATAAGTAAAAATATCACCGATTAAAATTAAAATACTACATAAAAATATTAATTTTTTTATAAATTTATTTTATTTTTATTTATTTTAATTTTTATACAAATAAATACTAAATATTAGGTAGTAAGTAATAATTTGATTTTATAAACAAGTATCCATATCTAACATACAATAATAATCAGTTAATGCGTTCGACACGTACTGTAGGTAAAGGCATAGAAGCAACAGCCATCTCTGAATTCTTAAGTTCGCCAAAAAATATTTTTTAAAAGATGATATCTTATTCCGTGGTCTTAAAAAATACATCTTATATCTTGTATGTATTTTCTATCTATCTAGTGATCGGCGGGGTGCCGGCAGATAATTATATTATCCACATACCTTTGGATGCCGGAACGTTGTTTGATGCAGCATCGTGTTGAGCCTCCATTCGATGCTAACATTAATCCGGAAAAATGTAGGCGGATCGATCAACCGATCGAGTGTCAGTTCAATTATATTTTATGGTAAAAGGCTGGTGGTCGCAGTATATAAAACATAAAAGATACAGTACCGCACAAATATCCGTGAATACCGTTAAAACACGCGAACACGGATTGAAAATTCACGAGTATACGCGAGTACAAATGTTTCCGTTCACGCGCACACGGAATTTGTGTTTACGTATGTGGTTCAATTTAATTAGTAATAATTTAATTATTATAACTATAATTATTAATAACAATCATGATTTAATTAATTTATTAAATTAATTCAAATTAATTTTCCGGTAATTTAATTAGGGACTTTTAGTTAACACTAACTTCACGTTGATCCCTCCGTCGTTCGATTCTACCGATGTTCAAGTCCCTCATTTCTCCTGTCAAGACTTAAAAGCGCCTTTACACGTTCAAACCGATCTCTCGCCATTGGTTATTATTGCTAAACGTGCCATTTATCTAATATCAAGACGTTCGGCGAAATCCTAATGTGCCCAACTTACGATCATCCTCCTACCGCCGTTTAAGAGAACGTTGTCCGGATCACTTCTTGTAGACCTATCGTGATTGGTGACATCAAAATTACTCTTAATACATCACCGTGTTCAGACAGCGTTTTTTCAAATCAAACAATTATCATGAATAAGAAAATAACGATCTCTGTATAGATTGTTACTATTTGCTAATGATTATGATATTTTACAACTATGCACCGAACAGATATATCTAATTATACGGCTTGATTCATGTGTTTATATTATACATATATTTAAATAATTTATTTATTCATCTAAATTATAATTCATAAATTTTTTTTTTGAGAAGTGAAATAATACAACCAATTTTAAAATACACCGTTATTGATGAGATTGTACAATACACTTTCATAACTATAGAGGCACTCTATTTTAATATCATTACAAGCCATCTTAAAAAAATGATCATACACTAATATAATGCCAATATTAGTTGTTCCACGGCGTTTATCATTAGGAATTTATTTGGGGAACATTTTCTAAAATATAAAAAACAAAACATACATCAATTAAAATGTCATTCAATACTTTTATTTTTAATTTTTTAATTTAGTTGTACAAAATCGTTCGCAATTAAAAAATAATGTAATGAGATCGGTTTTAAACATTTACATATAAATATATTAATTTGTACAAATAGAAAACAGTACTTAATATTTATTATTCAATCAATAATTAATATAGCAGCTCTAATAATAAAAATTATATATTCAACTGGTTTTATAAATTAGTATTGAGTGGTCAAACCATTAATTAATCTTAAAAAAATACATGAATTAGATTATACACTATTAGTTGTCATACAAAAGTAAAATAATAATGCCTTCTGAGATATTTAAAGCACTAGTATTATATATTTAATACAATTATAACAAAAATAAAAATACATTAGTGAAAATTATCTTCAACAAGATATTTTTCTTCAAAAAGGGACAGAAGTTATGAACTATTATTGTTAATAAAACATGAATATAAAAATCTATTCAAATAATGATAAAAAAACAAACGTAAAGACAGGAACATTTTGATATTTCAATCAAATTTAAGTAGGATTAAGTTGGAAACAAGTAGTAAAAAAAAAAAAAAAAAAAAAATACAAATATGCTTATAACAATATTAAAGCGGAAAATTTAAGCAAATTATGAGAACTCGAACAGAAGAAAGTTTCCCAGTTGGCACATAAAAACTTATTAAAATTTAAATGTTAAACGAATAATAGAAAACAAAAAGGCACATTTGTTAGATAATTAGATGTGGGACACAACATTATTGAACGGAATCTTTATCACATATAACTTCATCACAACCTTCAATATTTTCACTTAGTTTTTCTGCTGGTAACTGAACAGGCAAGGACCCAATGTTTGCATTTTTGTAAACAACAGAATTCTTGCCCAAAACAACAGAACCATGTGAAAGTAATGGTAAATTTGGATCAGGTGACACATTTACTGTTGGTTGAGATATATTCAAACCTAGATGAAAATTGTAATTATTAATTTTTAAAAAATAAGAATTTATAATATAAAATAAAATATTCACACTTACAATCATTGTACAATTGTTCTTGGCTTCTTTTTGGAGATTCTCCAGTGCCACTGTCTTTACTATTTGAAGAATTTAATGATTTATTGTCAGCACTATTTATTAAATTCGATGTAGGGTTTTTTGATTTACAAATAAATGATATCCAAATTCCAGATGTTATAACAATACATAAAATAATAGCAATAACTGTCAGCCCAATAGCATAATCGTGAATTAAACTTCGGTACACTAGAAAGGTAAAAAATATATTACACAATATTAAATAGTATAATTTTTAATAAAATATTAAGAATTTCACTAAACCTCAATTATTATATTGGTAAAATATTTGTATTAACCTAGAAAATACAAATATACACTCAAAGCAAAATAAAATTGAGATCAATACTTTGGAAAAAATAAGGATGTAACATAATATAATAATATTATAACAATATTACAAAAACTATATAATTTATACATTAAGTATTGGGAAATAGCTTATAGCTAACTAATGTTTAATTATGCTTATTATTTCTTTATGTTTATTGTAATACCCAAGAAGAAAAAAAGAAAAAGAAATATAAATATAAACACTTATTTATAAAATTATTAAGATGGCAGTATGGAATTGATTAACACTGACTAAACTATTGAACAGTCCAATTATACAACAGTAAAAAACAATCAATTTTCGAAATTTTTTAAAATAAAACTTTTTTTTAATTTAAATTAAAATACTTTTTAAAATTTTTATTATTAAAGAAAGAATAAAAATTATATTTACATGGTAAAATTAGAACTTCAACTTCTTGTACTTTTATTCCTAAAGGATTAGCAATTTCACATTTATAAGTGCCTGAATCATCAGCTTTTGTTTCCATTATAACTAAAATTTGATCTTCAGCAGTAAAATAATGTCTGTTGCTAGATGCAAGAGGAATGCCATTTTTTGTCCATTTTATTTTAGGTTTTGGAGATCCATAATTTAAACATTCTAGAACCACTTCTTCGCCTACTTTAACTTGTTTGTTTGACATTATACTTTCAAACCCTGGTGGTTCTAGGGAACATTTTATAAATACAGATATTGTATAATAATACATAACTTATAATTTAAATTAATTAAAATAATACTTTCATACCTGTAACAGTAAGAGTTGCATTCGCAGCAATCATTCCAGCAATATTTTTCGCTGTACAACTATATACACCCATATCAACTAATTTTACATTAACAATTAAAAATACATCATCCTTGGACATAACTTGCATACGTCGTTCTTGAGCTGCTGGAAAATCACTACCACCATCTTTTTGCCAAGATATTTGTGGAGGTGGATATCCATTTGCAGCACATTCTAGCCTAGCAGTAAATCCAGTTTTTACTGAACTGTTTCCAGGTATTTTGGCAAAAACAGGAAATGCTAAATATAAAGAAGTAATGAATTATTGTCATAATAATAATAAGAGAATACCCATTAGATACTTACCAACAACAGATAATATTGAACGATTTGAATATGTGATACCAAATTCGTTAGAAGCAACACATTGATACTTGCCACTTTGAGACATTGTTATATTAAACAAGTTCAAAGTGGAGTACTGTGATACACCATTAAGCTCAAAAGATGAATAATGATTTGTAGAAATCAATTCTAAATCATGATTATCTTTTTTCCAAACAAAATTAATTTTTTCTGGTGATGTTGAATTAACACCACATTTTAATGTAATGTTTTGACTTTCAAGAACCATTTTTGATTCTGGATGGATTATAATAATAGGTTTTGGACTGTTTTCATCTGGAAGGAATGACACATCAATAATATTTTTATTATTCATTTCTAGCATTACTATAAATACTTACAACAAGAAAAGTCCTCTATAGGTACATCTTCTAAACTTTTTCCTCTATTTTTTTCAGGAAAACCACAAAATGTATTAATTCTATCGAATGGTAAATTCAAAAAATTTTCTGGTTCTTTAAGCCATGACAGTGAACAGTCACATACTAATGATGAACTATTTAAATACAAATTAACAAGTTCAGGCATACATTTGAATGCTTCTTCTTGGATTTCTAAAACATTATTTTGAAGTAAATTCAATTCTTTCAGATTGTCTAAACCTAAGAAAGCTTCTTTTTTTATGAAAGATATTTTATTGTTCATTAAACTCAATAGTTTTAAATTTTTAAGTCCATTAAAAGGTTCTCTTGCATCTTCAATTAACCATGCCAAAGAGTTGTCATCCATTTGTCTATAAAGAAAAAAAATTATTACTTATATGTATTCTATATATTAATATTATGTGTAATATAAAATAAAAATTTAATTTTAATTAAGACCTCATTTAACAATTATTTATTTATAGTTCTAAATAACAGATTATTAAACAAAAAAAATTAAGTAAATACCATTTTTAACATTAAAATATTTTTAATATTTATTTTGGATTTAGTGTACATATTGATTCAAGAATTTAATTAATTATATATCATCAAACAGTAAATAGTTTCAGAAAATGCATATACTAATAAAATTTTAATGTAAATTGTGGTTCTGAATACATTATCTTAAATAGAATAAAACTTTGTATACAAGGCATACAATGTGATATTAATTTGTTGTACATTAAATATGTAATAATAAAATAAGGTTCAGTTATGATACTTAAAGCTTTAAAATATGGCTTACTTACAGTATTTAAGACACTAATTTTTAAAAACTATAAATATATCAAATAAATAAAAATAAAAACTTACAGTATTTGTAACAGTGGTGTATTGTTAAATGATCCTTCTTCGATAAATGATAATCTATTGTTATTCAAGTGTAATTTTTGTAACTTTCTTAAATGTTCTAGATCATTTTTTTCAATTAATTGCAAATTATTATAAGATAGATCCCTTGAAACAAAAATAAACATTATATTTTTAATTTAATTAATATTTACAAATATCATTGTTTGAGAAAATATGACGTCAATATCTAGTACTACTTACAATTCATCAAGGTTTTCACAAGATTCCCATCCACCTTTTATTTGATCAATTCTGTTATAGCTTATATTTAAGTGCTCAAGTGAGTTCAACCCATACAACCAACCCTTCGATATTTTGCTTATGCTATTATATTCCAAATGTCTAGAGTTAAAAAAATAAAGCATTTAATAGTAAAAAACAAATGTTTCATTAATTACATATATTTCTTATTATATTATATACATACAATGATTGTAACTTTGTTAACCCATAAAATGATCCATCTAGTAAATCTTCAATATTGTTTTGTCGTAATATTAATGTTTTTAAACTTACTAAACCCTTAAATAATAATCCTTCAATAACAGTCAAGTTATTTTTACTTAGATCTCTAAAAATTAAATATACATTATTATAATCATACTTGTTGTTCATTATAATAGATAGCTATAATATTATTTCATTGTGTTTGCTTACAGTAATTCAAGATTTGTCAGTTTTTTGAATAAACCAATAGGTAAATTGCTTAGTCTATTATGAGACATTTTTAAATCTATTAAATTTGTTAATGTATCAAAACAGTTTTCACTTAAACTTGAAATTAAATTCTTATTCATATTTCTGAAAAAAAAAAAAATAAATAAGATGTGTTATTGATTTTTTGAAAACTAAAAACTAGTTCAATTAATAAATTTTATAATTGTTAATAAAATTAAATTTTATACTAACAATATTCGCAAATGATTAGAATATGGAAATGTATTATCTTCCAAAAATGCTAATTTATTATTGTTCAAATTTAGAGATATCAAACGAGGTAAATTCTCTAGAGAAATACGGTCCAATGTATCTATTTTATTATGTGCTCTAAAAATCCAAAACATACAAATATTAAAACTAAAATTTTATAACTTATAAAGGAGTAATAATAATATTCAACTTACAAATTCAGATTATTGATACTTGCTTTACTCGTAAACAATGGGAATGACATAATACCATTTTTATATAGTTTCCTTAACAAAAAAAATAATATTAAATGTAATTATTATATCAATTAATATCTACATAATATTATTATTGTTAGATTACACATAAAATATGTTTCTTTTGTAATCTAAATAAATAATAGTTTATTAAAAATAACTAAACAACATTGAATTACAAGACAAAGTCAGATAAATAAAAATCGAAACATAATAAATGGATTAATTATTAATTACAATAAATAAAATTATAAGAAAATTTTTTTTTCAAAAAACAATATTAAAAATTGTGTTATTACATGTTCATGTTCAAGCATTTCCTTATTTACAAATTTTGCTGCAACAAATTTTACATGACATTTATGATAATTCTAATTTTATTCTATTTTCTAAATAAATAAATATATTTTATTAAAATAAATGTAGATTTATTTGGAAAAAGGGGAAAAATTAAACAAAATTGTAAATTTAAATTACATTCAAATATATTTGAAAAAAATTTAAGTAAATAATTGTTATATTATTTAATATTAATAATCATGTGTCTACTTAAATACCTAAATATCAGATCTTCTAATTTAATATTGAAATTAAAATGTAAGTTTTTTAAGTTTAGTTAGAATAATTTAAATTATTCAATTCAAACATTTTTAATTTAATTTCGGTACAGTTATCTTCTAAAATATATTATTTTATTTGAATATATAATAAATTTAAGAGTAATAATTGAAGTATTAAAATACTTCTATAAATTAACTAGAAATAAATTAATATAAATATTTTGTTAATTTAACTCAATGAAAATTAGTATTAATACCGAATGCTAAGTATTCCGTTGTTAAAATAAAGATCACAATAAACATTTAATGAATCAAAAAAACTTACTTTAATATTCAATAACATTTTAATGAATAATAAAATGAATACATTTTTTTTTGCACAAATTCAGCATTTTTTTTTTTGTGTATTGAGTTGAATTTTTTATAAAAACATAAATAAAAATGTTCTACTTAACATACTAATTATACCTTATACATAAAATATAATTATTGTCCTCTGTTTCATGCATAAAAAAAGAGTTATTATACATGAATACAATAAGCAATATAATATAAAATAAATTAATATTATTAATTAAATTATTAAAGATATAATCAACTGTATCATTTTAAATCTTTAAATTACTTACAATGTTGTTAGATTTAAGTAGCTGCCAATATCAATTTCCAAAGTTCTTATTTTATTTGAGCTCAAATCTCTATAAATAAAAATATTTTAATTACTACAGGATGAACGAAAATTATGTTATAGTTTATTAACAAGTATAAATAACACTTAAGTATGTGACCAATAAAAAAATATTCTATAAAATAATTATTGTTTACTTGGTTTTAAATGTTAATTTCTTGTCATATTAAATTATATGTTAAGCGTTGATAGCAATGTTATTAGATGATGAATGGCTCAATGCCAGAGATGAGGGCCAAAGGAACGAAACTTTTATAATAGTTAAAGATACTTGATTTTATTTTTGGTATGCTTAACATAAATTTGATTTTGACACTTAGCACTGCTTCAAGAATTACAACTACATCTAGTATTAATAACAATAAATGTAAAATCCATAAATATGTTATATGAGGTATAATAATTAATTAATCAATGACGATGGAAAATATTAAAGAAACACATTTTTAATTTAAATTTAAGAAACATTATATTATTATTCCAGAAAGAAATGCCTATTAAGTTTCAACCTGTATAAATCCAAATTTTATAATTTATTTTATTTTATTAAAATTTGATAAATTGAAAATAACAGGTAATTTTAGTGATTCAGTAATTTAACGACTTAATTAGTTAAAGTCAATTAGAAATTTATTAATAATAAATATTTCTATTATCAAGAATTTAAAACTATTTATAATAATACATTTAATCCATTTATATTAGTGAATGTGTTTTTTTAAATTAAATTAAATAAAAAATAAGTTAAGAATGTTATAAATAATTTTTACTCATATTCAGAATACGAAAATGGTAGCAAAGGTGAATGTTTCTTAATACAAATATATTATTTATTAAATAACGTTATTTCTATAATACAGATTAAGAACATTAACTATTAACAATTGTTTATACTTAAATTCAACTACTTTACTTATGTACATTTCATATATTATATTATTATCATCAATGTTTGATCAAGTCTATACTTTTATTTTTTAAACTGGCCTTACAAATACATGAATGTGTGTCAGGGATACAATATATGTTGTTGAAATATGTATTTTATTATTATTAATTAGTCAGAAGGGAACAGTTAATGATTTGAGATATCTTGCATTGTCTATAAACATTTATGCTACTAGCATTAATAGGTATACAATTTAAACATATAATATTCATATATTATTTTTTGTATACATTCCTAGATATAAAAATACTTATTTTCCATAAAATTGTTAAAAAAAGTTAAAAAAAGTCATACAAGACATAAAATATTAATTTAAGAATGTATTTAAGGTATAAGATTTAATACAGAATCAGAATAATATAAGTTTATTTTCTTTCTAAAAGTATTAACAGTTTTGCAAACAGCAATATTGTATTAGTACGACAGAAATGCACCAACGTGCGAGTGAAATGAATAGTATGATACAGTACGATACAATGGAAGCGAAATCAAAGAATCTAATACTTAAATTAAAATGTTAACAATATCAGCCTATTGCTGTCGATCATGGTGATACAGATCGTATTACTTACAAGACTTCGGTCCATATAGGTAGAGACTCAGGAAATCCAGACAGTAATCTTTTGCTGCAGTCGACATAACCACCGAGACACTCGCATTTTTTCGGACGTTTTTTCATCGGTTCGCTGTGCACGGTTCCATGGAACAGCAACAGCGACAGCCACAAATATGTGACGGACATGATTGGGTCAAACGCGGGATCGCACACCGGTGACCAACAGGGCATCACATGACGACGGCGATGAATGGACGGCGGTCGTCTGTCGAACGGTTGCCGAGACGTCTACGTGCGTAGGAGGAACACTCGCAGCGCATGCCGCCGTTACCGTCGTCGTCGACGACCGGACGAAAACGACGGGGAAACGCGGGTGAAACGTGAAACGGACGGCGGCAGAAGATCGATACGCGCGTCCTAGCCGAAGATTTCGAACGGTCGTCGTCGTCGGCGTCGGTTGCCGCAGTGCAGCATCGCATGCGTCGTCGTCGGCGGCTGTAAACGATCGGGGTGGAAAAAAAAATATGTATATAAATAAAAAAAACAACAACAATTCGAAAACCGAACAAACGAAAATACTGTTATGAACGCAACGTCGGTTCAATTATTATCTGAACAACCGTGTAAACAAAACGGCCAATACGAAAACACAAGAACCGTTATCACTAATTAACGAAGATAATGTGGGAGTCCCGGTCGACACTGGAATACGTTCCGCTAGCCGTTCGGTCTCACGCGCACGAATGCCCGCGTACACGCGATACATACTCTCCTCTCACTCGCTCGCTCATTCCTCCGGTTATTTTATTTTTTTTTTTCCATTCCTTTCTTCTCGTTCTCGCCACCCCGCTCCGCGCACCCGCCCCGGCGGTCACCGAAGACACCCGTCGGCCGTTGTTGCCGTCCCGCCCACCCGCGGCATTGTTATAGACGTTGCGGCGGCTGGTCCGCGTCGCCGTACGCTACCGGCGGCGCCCGGTCGGCTGCGTGGGGTGCTGCTGCTCCGGCGACCGCGGCCGAACGACGCCGACCGACACCGGTTAAAAAAAAAAAAACCCACCCGCCCCGGTTGTCCCGTCCCGCGACTCGTAAACGGCGACCGCGTCGTAACAACGCGTTGTTATTACTATTATTATCGCGCGCGCCCATCGATTACCGCGAAGGCGAGAACAACGCGGCGCGGCAGATGGTGGCGGTTCGATCCGCGTCGTCCGAAATCCCTGGCCGGATCGTTTTCGTACAATACGTTTCGATAATGAACGCGGCGCACCGTTACCGAAAGAACTCTCCGAGTTGAAATGTTCGGCGACATTTTCACATCGATGTTTACATCAAAAAAAATAATCGTGTGGGCTTGAACGTAAATAATAAAATAATTCCTCGAACGACGAATTAAAGAATTACGACCCACGCTGTGACCGATTTCGAATCTGTACGATAAGATTTCCCATATGTATAATAACTTCACGAATAAAATCTGTAACCGATTAAAATGCAAACGCTGTAAAATGCGGGTGTATATAATGGATCACGAATTGCATGTAACTCTTGTTTCTCGTAGTAACTACACGGATAATAGGTACATTATTGTTGATATATTTTGAACGGTATAAAAAAGCGTTTTCCGTTCAAAGACAACATATTGTATAGGGTGCATTATAAATTATCAGCCTTGGGTAGTAAATCGAATACAATATTCGAAATAATGTATTCAGAATACTTTTTAAATACCTACTTTTTTTGAAAGTATTCAATAAAGTATTTTAAATACTTATACGAGTATTCTGAATACAGTATTTCGAATACCGTTAAATCATTTATTTTTTTTTTAAATGATTTTATTACTTCTCTGTCGTATCTTGTATAAGCTAAAAGTATTTTACATAGATATTAGAAAATATTTATCAGTTAATTACTAAAATTATTATTAATATGATTAACACTAAAAGAGCAATTCATTTTTGTGAATATCATCAATGAGTACCTATTTTTATGTGGTCAACTTTAAACGTTAAAAGTAAAAAATTATAAACTCTGAATTATGAAAGTGCTTATTTTATCAAAAGAAATATCATTAATTTCTGAAAAAAATTTTATTTTCAAGTTCTTCCAATTCTTCTTTACATTGGAAAATATATAAAAAAAATCGAAAAGTGTCTTACAGTATCTTCTGATTTCCGAAAATGTTTAATAAGGTTAATTAACTTATTTAAAAATTAATTTAATAACTGAGTATTTTATGTTCTAAATAACGATAAGATTTCTTAAAAATTAAACATATTGGTATGTTTTATTAATATTAAAAATATTAAATTCTAATACAAATGATAAAATACATATTTATGTTATGAAACAGCCAGAAACAGACAAAAAAATGATAACTATAGGGAACGCATTTTATTGATAATATATATTATTTTTATTGGAATGAAATATTAATCTGATAAAAAATATGTACGATTTTAATCATTCTAAATGAAATAAGCCCACATTTATTTTTCATATTTTTACATAATAGAGTGAATAAGTACATGTTTTGTACATACCACACTTTGGTTACTATTGATTATTTTTAATTTTTTCATCAAAAATTGATGACAATGATTACCTATCTACAGCTTTTATATGGTATTTACGTATTTTCGAGTATATGCCGTTGTAACATATTCTTTTTATAAATAAGTAACGTTTTAGTATATGTCCTTTTTTTTATCGTATACATTAAATTTATTTCATATTTGTACAATTTTTTAGAATGCTCATAATTAATATAACTATACATCTATACTCATAACTGAATCATCGTCATTTTACTTTATTAAATATTAAAGAATTCGTATATAGTTTTGCATAGTTTTAAGAATAAGATAAGATTATATATATATAATTAATAAATAAAGTCTATTACAATTTTGACTTTTGTTTTACATATTTTAATAAATAAGTAAATATTTTTGGTTTTTTATAACATTAAAACCTATCCCCTAACCCTAGTCTTTATAATTAAGCAAGGTTATTTAAATAGCTGTGTTTATTTCATTGTTGTTAACCATAAGTATAAATAAAACTCGACAATCATTATTCATAAGTTATTTTATGACCGGTTCATTCGATAAGAGTTTGTATAATGTATAAGAGTGTTTACTGTTTACTGTTTAACAATATATTCAAAAAATATAAAAACACAAAACGTATGTGTTTTTGTTCAGATTTCATGATTCATGATTTCGTCAGAAAATATGAGTGTCATCAAAATTATAACTTATGAGCAGGGACGTCGTCAGGGTTTGTAAGGCTCAGATACACTATTACGAAGCCTTAAATTATTATTATTTTAATCTTTATCATAGGAGTGGTTGTGAAAAGAAAATGAATTCAAAGTCTTTAAACAAACTTTTATTGATTTAATAATAAGAATAATAAGGATACTTGAATATTATTTGTATACTGTATTCTATTATAGGTACTTACTTATTACTTGGCCTATTGGATATGAATAAAAACATTTTTTTCTTGATTTTTCTAAAACGAAAGTTTCTACGAGATTTTAACAGTCAATGTTGTTAGATACTTCTTGTTCAATAGATATAATTGCAGGATCTGAAAGTTTTTCTAGGCTTAATTTGTTTCACATGTACGTTTTGAAGTAGGTAAGTTTTGAGTAACTTTTTTGGCCCAAGCTGACGTTACTGGTATTTAGTTATAAACCGTTCAACAATGTATCGTTGTCGTAAACATTTAAGAGCAGAACACGCGAAAAAATTACATGAAAATGTCCGAAAAAAAGACGTTGTTACAGTTGTGGTCCATTTCAATGGAAAATTATTACCATTTCTATCTGGGAAAGAAAATGTCAATAGACTTCCGATAGTAATCAGTTTCGATGCAAATGAAGTTACATATCCCTTTCATAAAATCAATTACGGGTAAAGATCAAGTTTTAACAGTTTATTATACATTAGTAGAGTGGAATTTTATAGAAAATGTTTAAGGTATTTTGTGATAAAATATCTTGATTTTATTTATAATCATGCATTTATAGTTGAATAAAAAGAAAATAATGTATATTATTATGGAAAAAAGAATGTATGAAAACCTAATTATTTTTAGCTATCATTGTTATTTAGTTATTTTTACCAATAATATTTCAAATTTTACTAATTATGGTATCAGTTAAAATCATTTTACAAACATTTTTTTTACTGTTTTTCATTTTTTCTACATCCCGATTTTAACTTTGATAATATTATATTCTTAAAAACAAAGATTAAAAATTATACTATACAATCATTTATCAGTATATCAGTTGAATGTACTCTTTGACATACATTTTTTCTAGTGGATCAATTTTGAAAACTTACTAAATAATTTGTTATACCTACTCTGTGTGTGGTGTATCTTTACGGTTATATTTACAACAATTCAGTATTTAATATTTGATATTAGAATTGGGATTTATAAATAAAGTGAGATTTTTGTATGGTTTTATTCATTATTTTTATTATATACATTATATTATGTTATTATATTATAACTTAACTATTACAAAATATATATGTATACAGAATATGTATATGATTCAACTTGCCAGAAATTTTATTACTGGTGATCTTAAAAAAGTCACTAAATTTACTGTTAGATACACTAATTTTAATAAATATTATAATAATTGTTAAATCGTTACCGCCCCAAACACTGAAATAAGTGTCCGAGTCACTTATACGAGTACCATGACAATTGACACAATAAACAACAGTTTTTTGGAGGCGCTAAAGTGTTGTGGTTAGAAATTTGCTCACTTGTGAATTAATGAATTATTGAACTTTTAAAATTATTTTGAAATTATTATATTCTTAATAAATTATTTCAATTAACTTACACTAAACGTGTTTTTCTGTGAACATTTTTTTTTATTACAATAAAAATTGCAAGACTGCAAAACTCTTGCAGGTGGGTCTTATTTTGGTCTTGGTCTTGCAGATTCAATCTTGTGTCGAAAGAAATCGTACGTATAGACACATCAATTATAATCTTTATCTAAGTAACAATTAAAATAACTCGTCAAGTCACACTACCACCACGGAAGAACCCCTTTATTAGTTCGTTCGTTCTCTTATATAAATTTAACTACCTATAATAGTTATAATAATAATAATAATAATAATAATAATATAATAATGTGCTTACATGCTAATAGAAGAAATTAAAAAAAAATGTATGCTAGCTTATTTTCTATTGCGTCATTAATATAATCGGAACTTGAATTGCCTAACACTTAGTATTAGTCTTGTAGAGCCATTGTAGTTTTGGTCTTGGTGTTAGTCTTCGTCTTGCAGCAAGATCAAGACCAAGACAAGACCAAGAACAACTTTGTTCATTATTGTTCTTAAATATTTGCACCAAATTTGCCTGCGTTTAAATTATATGAATTACGGCTTATCATAATTCAACAATTATTTCAAAATAATTAAAATAAAATAAATATATTTAATCAAACTACAGTAAATAACAGGTATACATTTTTTAGTTATTATAATTTATAAGAAAAATACAAATTTAACAACATTTTTATTTTTATAAAAAATATATATGTAAATTGTATTATATTTTTTTAAATAAACATTTATATTATATATTATATATTAAAACTATTTTGTAGTCTTAAAAATTAATAATCCTCATCACGTATATTTTAATTTCCTAATGTCTATTAATTACTTGTGTAACCTATAGAAGTAGATTCTCAATGAATTTTAATTTTATATTATTATATTATTATATTATACATACCACGTAATCATTTTATACAATTATAATATTATTATTATATAAACGGGCGGTAACCAAAAGTGCATTAAATAGCTGTGGGACACCTTGTATATTATTAATATATTTCAACTTTTTTATGATATTTTATTTCTGTAAC